AATATTTTTAGTTGTAGATGGACACAATACCTTTGTTTTATTTATTTATTTTTATGCGGTGCTGAGGATGGAACCCAGTACCTCACACATGCTAGACACGCACTCTACCACTGAGCTACAGCCCCAGCCCCTATGTATCTCCTTGAACTCAGTAAAATCATGTACAGAAACAGAGATAATATATGTTCATTAAGTAATCATAATTTATTTTAAAGTTATATATTAGCTTTGTGCAACTGATGTTCTCTTCCAGTAGGTGGATGATTATAAAAGCTAGATTTACAGTTTTAGGATTTTAAACTCTTTCCTTTCCTCTTTGGTGTTTTTATAAAAAGCACACAAGAAAGAACAGGTTAATATTATGCATATTTTATTTCTAAGGCTTAACACAAGCATTTCATGGCAATGAATAAATAAATGGGCTCCAGAAGAAAGGATGGGAGCCCCTGGCTGTGCTGGAGAAGTTGAGGCTTAGGCGCCAGGATCTTTCAGGATCCATACTCATCTTTGAATATCTTCCTAAAGACACTCAAATTTTTTTAAAAAATTATTCTTAGTTATACATGACAGTAGAATATATTTTGGCAGAATATACATACATAAAATGTAACTTAGTCTATTGGGTTTTAACTCTTGTGGTCATATATGGTGTGGAGTTATCCTGATTGTGTATACAAATACAAGGCTAGGAAAGTTATGACCAATTAATTCTACTGTCTGTCCTATTCTCCTCCCCTCTCCCTTCCCTTTGTTTCCCTTTGTCTAGTCTAGTCTATTTCTATTATTCCCTCCCCAATCTCCCTCATTTTGGGTAAGCATCCACAAATCAGAGAGAACATTCAGCCTTTGGTGTTTTGGGATTGACTTATTGCACTTAGTATGATACTCTCCAGTTCCATCCATTTACTGGCAAATGCCATAATTTCATTCTTCTTTATGGCTGAGTAATATTCCATCATATATATATTATATATATCTCACATTTTCTTTATCCATTCTTCTGTTGAAGGACACATAGGTTGTTTTCATAGCTTGGCTATTGTGAATTGAGCTGCTATAAACATCACTGTAGTGTGCTATTTTTAAGTCCTTTGGGTTTAGATCAAGGTATGGGATAACTGGGTCAAATGGTGGTTCCATTCCAAGTTTTCTAAGGAACCTCCATATTGCTTTCCATAGTGGCTGCACCAATTTGCAGTTCCACCAACAATGTATGAGTACACCCTTTTCCCACATCCTCGCCAACATTTACTGTTCCTTGTATTCATCTTCTTCTTTAAAAAAAAGCCTGTATCTTTTTTTTTTTAAGAGAGAGAGAGAGAATTTTTAATATTTGTTTTCTAGTTTTCGGCGGACACAACATCTTTGTTTGTATGTGGTGCTGAGGATCGAACCCCGGCCGCACGCATGCCAGGCGATCGCGCTACCACTTGAGCCACATCCCCAGCCCTGTTCCTTGTATTCTTTATGACTGCCATTCTGACTAGAGTGCGATGGGATCTTAGTGTAGTTTCAATTTGCATTTCTTTAATTGCTAGAGATGTTGAATTTTTTTCATATATTTGTTGACCATTTCGTATTTCTTCTTCTGTGAAGTGCTTGTTTATTTCCTTTCCCCATTTATTGATTGGGTTATTTATTTTTCTGCTGTTAAGTTTTTTCAGTTCTCTGTGTATTCTGCAAATTAATGCTTTATCTGAAGATACTCAAAACTTAAACCATTTGAGAAGGAATTAAATAATGGAAAGTTATATCATGTTCACGTTTCCTTAGATTGATCTATAGATTCAGTACAATCTCAGTCAAAATCCACTCACTGTTCTGTTTAAATTGACAACCTGATTAAAAGATTTATATGGAAATGCAAAGGACTTAGTGTGCAAGGCAACCGAAAGGAGAAAATGTTGGAGGATTTACCTTCTAAAGAGTACAAGTTACTACAGTCAAAACTATCCTAATTAAACAGGTGTTGGGCTGGGAATGTGGCTCAGGCGGTAGCGCGTTCGCCTGGCATGCGTGGGGCCCGGGTTCGATCCTCAGCACCACATACCAACAAAGATGTTGTGTCCGCCGAGAACTAAGAAATAAATATTAAAAATAATAAAAAAATAACCAGGTGTTAATTGGTGCAATAATAAACAGAAAGCCAATTGAAAAGAAAGTCCAGAAATAGACCTACACATGTAATTGAGTATAGCACACAAAATATACATCAAGGAATTCGATAGGGAAAAGGGTGACCTTTCAAAAAGTGGTTCTGGGTCAGCTGGATATCCAAATGGAACATCCATGAACATTGACCCCTATTGCACATCACACACTAGAATTAATTTGAAATGTAACATAGATCTAAAAGTGAAAAATAAGGACAATAAAGCTTTTAAAAGAAAGCATAGAAAATACCTTCTTAGCTATGGGATGTGAAGATATTTCTTAAACAGGACACTAAGGCTGCTACCCATAAATGATAAATATTTTGGACTTCATTAGAATTAAAGAACTTTTCATCAAAAAGACCACTGAGAAAGTGAAAACTCACACAACTGGGAAGAAGATATTTATAATACATATATTTGACAAAGGATTTATACAAATCAACAAAAAAAGATTAACCAGGCTGGGCACGGTGGCTTATGCTTATAATCTCCAGCAATTTAGGAGGCTGAGACAGTAGGATCTCAAGTTCAAGGTCAGTCTCAGCAACTTGGTGAAGCCCTGAGCAACTTAGCAAGACTCTGTCTCCAAAAGGGGGGGGAGGGAAATCGGTGGGGGTGAAGGGGTAGGGCCCGCCTGGGAATGTAGCTCAGTGGTAAAGTGCCCCATACCAAAAAAAAAAAAAAGATTAATCAATTTAAGATTGGCAAACGAGTTGAACAGATAGGTTAGTATACAAATAGCAATAAACGTGAAAGGTATATAACATCAGTAATTGTTAGGAAAATGCAAATTAAAGCCATAATGATGGTTAAAATTAAAAACAACAGCAACAACAAAAACTTGACAATTCCAGTGTTGGAGAATATATGGGGGAAACAGAAATTCTCTTAACACTGATGGGAGGGGATTTTGGTACTACCTCTTTAGAAAATTGGTAATTTCTTCTGAAGTTAAAGTAATGTCTACTCTCTGGTCCAACAGTTTCACTCCTGAGCATACATTCAATAGAAACGAGTGTCATGTCCACAAAAGATATATAAGAGAATGCTCAGAAAAGTATTATTTGTAATAATTAAAAACTGGATTGGCTGGGAGTGTAGCTCAATGGTAGAGCACTTGCCTAGCAGGTGACAGGCCCTGGATTTGATCCCTAACACCAAAACAAAAGTGAAAATGACCCAAATATCTGTCAAAAGAATGAGTGAACATATTTGATATTACTTCAACGGAATACTATATGGAGTGAAAAAAAACAAATTACCAATAAACACAACAAAACATTGAATTTCACAATGTTGAATGAAATCAGATTTGGAAGGGTACATACTGTTTTATTCCTTTCTTATGACTTTCCCAAGGAGGCAAAGTCATAAGAAAGGAATCATATAGAATGTACCCTTCTAGAAGTCAGAATAACCCTTGGTGGAAAGTAACTGACAGGAAGTAGGAATGAGGAGGGAAGGTTTGTGGTGCTGGGGATAGACACAGGCAAGTTAGAATGCTTCGAAGCTCAGGATTCTTTTTCTTGAATATATCCTCCTTGGTTTGTTGTAACCCTTTAGTTAATTTGTAGAGTTCTGAAAAAGATGAATTTTATGATTTCTTCCTGTGTTCTTATGGAAGAGCAGATTTGGGGAGGCTGTTCACCATGCCTACTCATGTCCTCCAAGTGTTTGTTTCACCTCACAGTATGTCTCAGCTTTTTGCCCATGACAAAATACCATGGACTGGATGGCTTAAACAACAGAAATATAAATTTCTCACAGTTCTAGACACTGAAAGTCTGAGATCGGCATGCTGGCCTGGTCAGGTTCCAGTGGGGACCTTCTTAATGCTGTGCAGATGGTTGTCTCCGTGCATGTGCATATGTGTGCATGTGATCTTCCTCTGAAGAGGCCACCAATTCTGTCAGGTTTAGGGCCCCACTCTTATGACTTTATTTAACCTTAATTACTTCCTAAAAGTTCTATTTTTAAATAGAGTCACATTCAGAGTTCGGGCTCCAACATATGGATTTTGGGAGTCCATTACATAATATATCTCATTTTGGACCAGCCACATTTCATGTGATTAATAGACATGTTGGTTACTTGATTTTGTGTGTGTTTGTGTGTGCAGAAGATTGAACCCAGTGATGCTCTACAATTGAGATACTTCCTCATGCCTTTTCAATTTTTTAATTTTAGTATCGCTAAGTTGCCAGGATGGCCTCTAACTAGTGATCCTCTGGCCTCAGCCTCCTGAGTAGCTGGGATTATAGGCATGTGCCACCAGGTCTGACATGGTTACTCTGTTCTGTATTGAACAGTACAGTCTAATCGCAGTACTTAAAACTAAAGACATGAGCTAAATTAATACTTGTGATATTTTTAACAAAGGAAAATATTTATTATGATTGCTGTAATTATTGTTATAAGGATGAAAAAGAAGATTCTTTGAGGCTCCTGCAATACTGTAGTTCATAGGTAGTGCATGACTTGGAGCTCACACTCATTTGATGGCTGGCAGCCAAAGAGACAGCCCTTGCTTAGGTGGCCAGGAGGTAGTTATACACATTTTTGAAAACATTGTGACAGGAGGGTGGCTGCAGTGTCTATCTTATGGTATAAAAGGTAGCACATTAAAGGTTTGTAATTTTATTAAGCTTCAAAGTAAAAAAACTCACCTGGTATAGATTCCAAAAGCTTACATTTAAAATTATTTTAATTATAAAAATAATGCTTTCTTATGATAAAAAAAAGAAAAAAGAAAAAATTGAGAGTAGAACCTACATACTAAAACCAGTAATACTCTTCCATCTATCGACAGCTTCAGTAGTCCCACTCCCAAAGGGCATAAATATTAAAAATATTGCTTTTCAAAGTAGGATTCCAAGTGGAAATTTCAAGAAAAAAATTGCATTTACTTGGAACATATTCACAAATATACATTTCAGTTCTATTTTTATTTCTTAGATTTCTGCACCTAATGAATTTGATGTCATGTTTAAACTGGAAGTCCCCAGAATTCAGCTAGAAGAATATTGTGATAGTGGTGCTCATTACTTTGTGAAGTTCAAAAGAAATCCCAAAGGAAATCCTCTGAAGCACTTTGTAGAAGAGGAAATATTGTCAGCTTCTAAGATGCTGTTAAAGTTTAGGAAAATCATTAAAGATGAAATTAAAAATATTAAAGGTAAGATTTTTGGCTTTTGATTCTTAAAGGTCTAATACTACTCAGAAATTACCTTCTCCTGACTGTTTTTTTTTTTTTTAACTTCTCTGCCACAGACTGTTGATTACTACTTCCTTCTAGAAACAGCTTCTTTACCATTGGTTTTCATTGATGCATCTTCTTGGTATTCTTCTTAAGTGTTGACTGGCTCTCTTTTGGTTTCCATTGAGTACTTACTTACTGTGTCACTGGATAAATGTGCCTGAGTAAAATTGGTGGGATCCCCTTTTGAAGCTCATAATCTAGTAGAGCCACAGTATAAATAACATAACACTGAATTGCAGTGAGTGATCTGAGGTGTGTACTGGAGTGGAGCATGACCTGGAGGCAGCAAAGAACCTGCCACCTCAAGGAACAAAATGTGTGAATAGGGGAGGAGTGACAGGCAGGGGCAACATTCAGGAAAGACTTGACAACCCTGGAAAAGGATTTAGATGTTACTCTGTTTTCATTGAGAATCCAGGTTTTAATCAAGGAGTAATGATTGACTTTGTATCTTTAAAAGTTTACTCGGGGGCTAGGGTTGTGGCTCAGGTGTAGAGCACCTGATGCCCTGGGTTCAATCCTTAGCACCACGTAAAAGACATACACACACACACACACACACACACACACACACACACACATATATATACAAAAAATAAAGTTAAAAAAAGTTTACTCAGGCTTCCATGGAGACATATGAGAAGGCAAATAGGAAAATGTTTTAATACTTGAAGTAGCTTAGATGAATAGGCATTGGGTGCTAGGGATGGAGAAAAGGAAGCAGATCCAAACTGTGGCAGTACTTGCATCTAGATTAATCGTAGGGGGTGAGAGAGAGGACTAAATTAAGATGGTTCCCAGGTTTCTAGATCGTACCTTTTTTCTAGGACCAGAAGAACTGAGGAAGAACATTTTGTTGGTTAGCTTTCTGGTATTATAATAATACCTGAGAGTATCAGTTTATAAAGATTAAGATTTATTTGAGCTTCAGTCCCTGTTGCTTTGGGTCTGTGGTGGTACAATGTGGCAGGAACATGAGGTAGAGCAAAACCAGTCACTTCCTGCCCAGGAAGTAAAAAAAGATAAAAAGAAAGGTAGCAGGGTCCCACAGTCCACCTGAAGGGAATGGCCCAGGGACTTAAAGACCATCCACAAGGCTCCACCACCTAAAGTTTCCACCACCTCCAAATAGTACCACCCTGAACCTTTACCACATGGATCTTTAGGGGATCCTTAAGATTCAAACTATAGGGGCTAGGGATATAGCTCAGTTGGTAGAGTGCTTGCCTTGCATGCACAAGGCCCTGGATTTGATCCCCAGCAACCCCCCGCCCCCCAAAAAAAGATCCAAACTACAAGCATTTTCACAATGGTGCACACTATGATTCCAGCGACTCAGGAAGGCTAAAGCAGGACCACCAACAGCCACCTTTCCAGTGCCTATATCTGATTGGGCACTTAGAGCTCATGATGTCTAAAGTGAATTTCATATTAGCCTGATTTTTCTTCCCCCTGCTTTTTGTTTTGGGGAATGGAATCAACATCAGCCCTTTCTCAGGCCAAAATCTAGGATAGAATCCCGGGCTCCTGCTTTCATCCGCACCTCACACACTCAGTGTATCTACCATCTAGTTCTGTTGATTTAAACCTCTTTATTCTATTTATTTAGAGGTGGGATCTCATTACTTACTCAGGCTACTCTCAAAAAACATTCTTTTGAGGGAGGCTGGGGGTCAAACCCAGGGCTTTGCACATGCTAGGTGAACTTTCTACCACGGCTCTATATCCCAGCCCTGATTTGAACCTCTTTAATTGCTCTCATTTCTACTCCCCTTCTTGATGCTCACTGCTCTATGCCTGGCTATTGGCGTGGTCTGCTCTCAGGTCTCTCTCTTCCCTGCCACTCACATGTCTCCTTTTCAGGCTTCCTTACAAACTGGTATCCACAATTCTAAATGAAAATTCAATTACAACACTCTCAAATCCCAAGTCTTTAGGGGCCCCTCCTCATATGTGCTAGACGGAATCTTGACAACACCTACCAATCATAGGTATTAATAAATATGGGTTAAATGAGTAAAACACCCTGCCTCGTGGGGTAATTTTATGTTTTAGAACTAATGTTCATCTTCAATTACAATTATATCACTTTGCCCGATTTTTCCAGGGAAAATTGGATCAATAAGCCTTTTCTTTCCTTCTATATTTTTAAACAGATATAGACATCACTATGGAGAAGAAAAAACCAGGGAGTCCTGCTGTAACACTTGTTATTAGAAAATCTGAAGAAATATTTGTGGATATAATTCTGGCTTTGGAATCAAAAAGTAGCTGGCCTGCTAACACACAGAAAGGTCTGCCCATCAATAACTGGCTTGGAGCAAAAGTTAGGACCAATCTAAGACGACAGCCATTTTACCTCGTACCCAAGCATGCAAAAAAAGGAAACGGTTTTCAAGGTATTTTAAATGTGAAGTTAAACATGAACTTATAAAGGAGTTGGAAATGTCTTCTGGTGGGACAGTAGAAGACCCACAGACAACTAATGCTGTTGGCATTGCAAGAGCCATTAGGATAAATAGGTTACAAGACGAGAGTGAGAGAAAGAACTGAAAAGGCGTAGTTATAGTCGTATTATTAAGCAGTTGTAGTAAGCTTCATTTGAACCTTTTTTTAAAAAGTGTTTATTCTTAAGTTTTAGGTGGACACAATATCTTTATTTTACATTTATATGGTGCTGAGGATCGAACCCAGTGCCTCGTGCATGCTAGGCTAGCACTCTACCACTGAGTCACAACCCCAGCCCTTGAACCTTTTTTTAAAAAAATAGACTAATGTAAGTATTCTTAGACTAGGCTAAGCCATCATATTCACTTGGAGCTATTAAATGCATTTTGAATTTATGATATTTTCTGTTTACAATGGGTTTTCTGGACATCATCTCATCATAAGTCAAGGAGCATCTGTATTTACATGAATTATTTGGGATTTTTCTGTATGGAGATTTGTCTCTTCAGTTTTTTTATTTATTTATCAGGATGGACAAGGGGATATTTGTTTCATACTTTGGGCTATAATATAATAATACTTTATTTAGTTTGTTGCTTAGAGTGTTCCAGCTTTAGCCGTGAGGAGCTCTTTTAGTTAACTTCTGGGTCCTTTTGACGTAATCCCCTCACTCTTTTTTGCACACTTCTTCACTTTCTAGCACTATGAGATCCAGGCTTATCTTGTATATGGCCTGCTTCTGTCCTGGAACCCAAGGACATCTGGATCTTTTTATTGGAGAATGTGGTAGAAACCAAGATCTGGGTGATAGGTGTGCTTATCACTACTAGGGTGTCATCCCCCTCACTTGGTGAAGCAAGGAAACATTTGCACACTAACCCTTGTATTTATACATATCTATAAATATTTCTATATGTAGCCCCCTGTATTGTTAAGTTATACATGAAATCATACTGATATCTGAACTATAATCCATTGCTACATGGATCTTTCTGTCCCTCTCTGTTATCTATAACCTCTCGTTCTGACATTGAAAACACTGGCCCACACCATGAGCCATTCGATTATTTAATTCTTTGATTCTAATATACAGATATACTTGTTTCAGAATTGTGAAACAGTTCTCCTATGGGAAACAGTTATGATTACAGTATAGAGCTTGTGTAGTGCCTTTTGCCTTTAGTCTTAGACTCTGAGTTAATTTATAAAGAAAAGCATCTTTTTCCCCAGGTTGTTTCATATATCTAATATAATTAGAGTTTCTTTCTTTATAATTAGAGCACACCCTGAATTATGTTATTACCTATCCTGACATCCTAAGTGGTTTTTTGTTTTGTTTTGTTGTTGTTGTTCATCTAGAAACTGAATACATGGGTACTTTACCACTGAGCTACAGCCTCAGTGTAAAGTACCCCCTTTTTAAAAAGATTTGAGACAGAGTCTCTTTAAGTTGTTTAGGGACTTGCTAAATTGCTGAGGCTGACCACAAACCTGAGATCCTCCTGCCTTAGTCTCTTGAGTTACAAGTATGTACCATGGTGCTCAGCTGTCAAGTGCTTTTTAAAAAAATTTGCATACATTTGGGTTGACTCTGTGTTGAGTCAAACACAGCACAAAGTTTGACAAATACATTGGATATGTATTGGCCCCTCTATAATAGTTTTACTTTCCTAAAAAGTCCTGTGCTTCATCATTTCCACCCTTCCCCTTCCAAACCCCTGGCGACCACTGATCTGTTTACTGTTTTGCAAGGAGCACATATGACTGAATGTTTAGGTAGCTATGCCTGCACTATTTTGTTCCATTAACATCTTGGCTGGGGTATAGCTTAATGGTAGAGCACCAGGTCTTAGCTTTGACACTTACCACCACAAAAAAAGAGAAAAAAAACTTTGATCTATCCTTGCACTAGTCATACATAATATAGCTTTATAATTGACCTTAATATCTGGTAGGGAAAGTTCTACAAATTTGTTCTTCAGTGGTATTTTAGATATTATTGACCTTTGGCATTTTCATGTATACATTGGAATCAGCTTATCAAGTTCCCCACAAAAACAATTTTTGGAATTTTGATTAAGATAACATTATATGTGTAGATAAAATTGTCAAGACTTGATATATTAAAAATAATGACTCTTTGGTCATGTGAACAAGTGCATGTCTCCATTTATTTGAATTTCCTCAAGTGCTTCTTTTTTTGGTGGTACCGGACATCAAACTGAGGACCTCATACCTACTAGGTGTTAAGACTCTACCACTAAGTCACACCCCTAGCCCTTTTTATTTTGTTTTTAAGACAAAGTCTCACTAAATTACCCAGGAAGGCCTTGAACTTGCCAACATCCTGCCTCAGCCTCTGAAGTAGCTGGGATTTCAGGGGTACACCACCACACTTGCTACCTCTAATACTTCTTAATTGAAGTATTGAGTTTTCTCTACAAAAATACTGTTATTTTTTTTGTTAGAGTAATTGATCTATTTAAAGCTTTTTTTCTTTATTAGAGATGGTCTTGCTCAGTTGCTTAGGGCCTTGCTAAGTTGCTGGGCCTGACTTTGAACTTTTGATCCTCCTCCCTCAGCCTCCTGAGCTGCTGGGATTATAGGTGTGCACCACCATGTCCAGCTATGATGGTAATTCTTAAATTCTGTAAATTTATTTATACCTTCTTATATTTTTATATGTACAATTGTATCATTTACCAATAATGATAGTTTGTTTCTCTCTTTCAAGTGGTATAACCCTGTTTTTCCTTCCATTTTTCTGTTTTCTGGGACATCCATGTTGAACAGAAATAGGGATAGCAGGCCATGAATGGTGATACACCCCTATAATTCCAGTTCCTCAGGAGGCTAAGGCTGGAGAATTGCAAATTTGAGGCCAACCTGGGCAACTTAGTGAGATACTGTGACAAAAGCATTAGAGATGTGGCTTAGTGCTTGGCTAGTGTGTACAAGGCTCTGGTTCCATACCCAGTACCAGGGGGGAGAAATAGCAGACATCCTTGCCTTTATTCTGACTTCAAGGGGAAACCTTCAAATTTTGACCTCATTTTATCATGTTGCTCTAGTTTTCTAAAATCTCCTTTTTATTAGATCAAGTTCTCAGCTAAACTCAAATTGCTGAGAAGTATTTTTTGTTTTAAATGATGAACGAATATAGAATTTTATTAGCTATATTTTCTGCATCTCCTGAGAGGATGATGTGATGTTTCTCCTCTATTCGGTTAATATGATAGATTTTATCTATTGATTTTTCTAATTATAAACCAGTCATGCATTACTGATATAAAAACAACTAGGTACCAGAATGATTAGAGTTTAAGAAAGCAAGCCAGTGGCACACATCTGTAACCTCAGCGGCTTGGGAGGCTAAGGCAGGAGGATTACAAGTACAAAGCCAGCCTTAGTAACTTAGTGAGACAAACAACTTGACAAGACACTGTCTTAAAATTTAAAAACAAATTTTAAAAGGGTTGAGGATGTTGCTCAGTGGTTAGGCACCCCTGGGTTCAATTCTCCTGTACCAAAAAGTAGTTAAATAAAAGAGCAAGCCATGGTAAGACTCAGGGAATGTCATTCTACTCTTACACAAACTCTCACAAAGAATAGAAAGAAATTAGTTAAATAAAAGAGCAAGCCATGGTAAGACTCAGGGAATGTCATTCTACTCTTACACAAACTCTCACAAAGAATAGAAAGAAAATATTTCCCAATTCATTTTATATTAATACCCAAACTTGCAAGGATGATACAAAAAACTGAATCAGTTGATTCAAATTACTATTGAAACAAAATATTAACAAAACTCAATTTGGCATTATATCAATAAGCAATACATCTTACCTTGGCTTTAAGTCCCTACTTCCTCCTGGACTCTCCCACTTTTTTCCCATTTAGGTCCATTTCTTTGCTTCACTGCCTTTATTTTAATGTATAATTAAATTATATGTTTGTTCACTTCTTTTGGTCCGTCTTTCTCTAGATTTCTTCAGAATAATATCTTAATAGAGAAACACTTAAATATCATGTTGTCTAGATTTGAATTCTCTTGATAAAGTGCTTTTCTGTTTTTCTTTTTGAAATTAAGAAGAGACATGGCGGCTCTCTTTCTCTCACATTGAAAAAGACATTTTGAACAACCATGGACAATCTAAAACATGTTGTGAAACTGATGGAGTTAAATGTTGCAGGTAATTTCCTTATTTTGTTAAATGGCAGATTGTATGTGATATTTTTAGTTTTTTGTTGACTCTGTAGCTCACATATAAAAATGATTATTGAGTTGGGGGCCAGGGAAGGGCTTGGTGACCTGGGGAAAGTGTGAGCATATTAATGCCATGTAATGGGAGGAGGCAGAGGGTTATTACTCTTATTGGATACTAGTGCTTGCTTTGGAATGGTTTGACTGCATTGAAAGCTAGGAACTGACTGGCCAAACTTGAAATCATGCTAAATAGATAGTTATTTCTCTTTAGCATACACACCATAAAAAACTGAGATGGAAAAAGAATTGTTTATGTGAGTTTCTAAAGCTGACCAGTTAAAGGTCATAAACGAGAAAACCTCAAATGATGAATGGCCAACATTCAGGCACAGAGGTTCTTTAAAGCCTTATATGCAGACTTTGAAGCAAGCACTTGGGAAAGTATATTGTTGACGTGGCTAAGTAATTTTATAATATTAAGTTTTGTCATCTCCTAAATAATTGAATAAATATTTATAAATATTTACAATCAGGGGCTGGGGTTGTGGCTCAGCGGTAGAG